TGGGGGCGAGCTGGGGCAGCTCTGCCGGCAGGCAGCGGCCGGAGCGGGACTCCCGGGGCTGCAGCGCCCCGTCTCCTACAAGGACTTGGAGGCGGCGCTGGTCAAAGTGGGCCCCAGGACCTCCCCCAAGGACCTGGACTCGTACGTGGAATGGGACAAAATGTATGGCTTCGGACACTGACGGCGCGCAGGGGAGGCCGCGGGAGCCGCCCCCCCCTCCCCGCCCCCTCCGTTTGGGAGGGATGTCTTTAACTCACCGGGTTGGGAGGGTGCGAGTGATGAATGTGCAGTGGGAGAGGGGAGGGGACTGCCGGTGACTTTTTTTCGTGGGAAGGAAAAGTCTTCTGCTAGGCAGATAGATGCCATATGCGCTGTGTACTCAGGTTTTTCCTATTTATTGTGGACGGGAAGCTCGCCATCTCCGCTCCGCGGACGGGCCGACCTGGGATGGGCTGGTACCTGGGGCCTAAGGCACTCCTGCTTCTCTCGCCACAATCTTTTGTCTCCTCGCTTTCTGAATGGCTCCCTCCTCCTCATCCACTCTCCCCTCTTTCTCTGCATTTAGTTTTCCCTGTCGTTTTGTCACTGCCCCCCTCCATCCTGGCCCTGTTTCTCTTTTGATCCTCCCTCCCCTCTCTCTCCATCTATCATCCTCTGTGCTTCTGTCTCCATCCTTTGCTCTCCAGCCTCTCTGTGTCTCTTGGTTTCTCTCTCCTTCTGTCCCTGTCATTCAAAGACTGCAGGAGAGCTGGAGGTCCAGGGGCTGAGGAGGCAGGGGGTAGGGAATTCTCTCCCATCCCATTACACCTCACTCAGCTGAATCCTTGGGTCTTTGGGGGAGGGGTGGGGTGGGGTATCACGCAAAAAAACAAAAAAACAAAAAAAAATACCACCCAAAGAAGGGTTTTTTGTTATTGTTGTTTGTTTTTGAGGAGGAAATCCCAGAAATGTAGCTTGTTTAATATTTAGGCCTCTTATTTTTGTGAGATGTGTAGGACTTGGCTGTTTTTATTTTGACAACTCAGGAAGTAACTAACCTCAGAAAGAATGTTAGACTTTGGCTACTCTCTTGTGTGTTCCCCATCCACCACCCTTAGCCTCAGGGGAGCAAACTCCCAGAAGACTCAGAAAGTAATACTTTGAGGAAGGGGAGAGGAGGACCCAGAGCCACATGTAGACCCCTGTTCTTCCTGGGACAGAAGTGGAATGTATTTGTAGGACTTCCTCCCCACGTCCAAGGTTGTAGGCAGAGGTATGGGGGAGTGCATTATGCGATTTGAGAGCAGGTAGGTCTTGCTGCTCTCCCCACTGGGCCCCACTCTCAGCTTGGTATTTTCTATGAATGATTAACCAAACTTGGAATGCCCTTGCCTACTTTCTGCCCCAGACTCAGAAAGTCTAAGAGGGCCCAAATGGGAAGATGACCTAGGCAGAAAGTCTCCAGAGAGGTCATCTCACTTGGCCCTTGTCCAGGCAGGTGTCTTAAAACTTAGGCTAAGAGGATTCCCTTGGGAGGGAAGAGACAGTCTACTGTCCACAAGTCTGGTGGGCACGAAACTGATTACGGACCCAGCCTTTCTTGTCTGCTGGGAGGCTCTGAGGTGGGGTGAGCACCCTTCACAGGAGAAGGTTCTGTGGGAAGTATGCCTCTCCCATTCTCGTAGGGTTCTAGGTCTGGAGCTGCAGGGGCTGCAAGAGGGCGAAGGAGATGGATAGACTTTTCCCCTGATGTTGGATTTATTCTCATTCCTACCCACACTTTCCACTAGAAGTCCAGGATTAGTCAGCCTTCTTCTGAGAACCATATTCCTCGCTTTCCCACCAGCTTCCCATGATGGGGCTTCAGCAGTTTGCTCCCTTCCCCCAGGAAGCCCATTTCACAATTCTGACCTTTGGTCCAAAGTTGGGAGGAACAAGCCCATACCCCTACCTCTTCTCCCTCCCTCCCCAGCCTCTCTTCCTGTTCACTGCCTGCCCTTACAGCTTCTACAGTCTCAGTACCACCTCCCATTCCCAGCTGGGATGGTGTCCACAGGGAACATTTCAGGTGCCAAGGTGCTGAGGGCCTGTACTGGCCTAGCAGTGTTAACAGGGAAGCTGCTCTGTGTTTTCCCCCTTTTTTACCCTTGGTCTCTTTCTGGCCCACCTCTCCATGGAGCTGGCTGATTGCAGAACTTTGATGCCTCAGAAGCAGTGGGGTGGGCCACAGGGTCTTGGCTGTAAAAGGCCCTAGGAGGGAGCAAGGAGTGAGGAGGTTCTCTCAGGTGTGTATATGGGGTGGGGGGAGGGCGTCAGGGAAGTGGGGTTGGGATCCCTTCTCTTTAAGAGGCAGGCAGCTCTGGGGGTGGGGTGGGGGGGAGCTCACTGACCCAGGCCCCCACCTCCTCCTCTACTGGCCTTGGGGAACTTTGCACAAGGAGACATCCCCCAGTCTACTAGCACCTACCTCATGGGCCCTGGGGCAGGTGGGGGAAGGGCAGGTCCAGCTCTGGCAATGTTGAGGGGAGCATACCAAAGAATCCAGGGGCAGGGGTTGAAGGGCAAACTGGCCCTCTCCTTCCTCTACCCAGATTGGGGTTGAGGTCCTCTCCTCCAACTGCAACCATTTCTACCTCATTTTGCTGTGTGTTGTACATGGAAGTATTTATCTCCTGTCTGATGATGCTCTGCAGTTGTGGTCTGTCTACCTCAGAAGAGACTGTATTTTAAAAGAAAGTATTACACAGTATTAAAGCAATGATATGTGGTTTCCAGAAGATTTCTTGGGGGTAGCAGGATGTGGAGAGCCCTGTGGAGAATGGGCATCCAGGTCTGTTGGTGCCATTGGTGTGATTCTGTGGAACCCGTTATTCACTCTGGCACAGGAGGTGCCCACCAGGTTCTGGACACTGAAGCTACCAGGTGAAAAGCCACACCCTCAGGCTCTGAAAAGCCTCTGGATAGGGAAGGTCCTCGTTCAATTCTGAGCCTACAATACATAGTGGGGAAAGCTCAAAAATGGATCATTTGAAAGTAAAACTGGATAAAGCTGCTGCTTGAGGAGGGACCACATCAAAATTTTTACATTCCCACATCTGGCACAATATTTGGTACATGGAAGATACTGATTAAAAAAATGTTGAATAAATCCTCCAATTAATTTCCGGATAAATGTCCTGATGGAGGATGACAGTCTATCTCAAGAATGTCCTGGAAAGATCTCAACTCGCAATGGGAGTGGTGGGGTGTCAGAAAAGCTTCCCAAGCAGGTGGGGATTCAGTCCAACGAAGCTATGGAGCCTGGCAACTGTACCATACTTGTGATTGGTTACTAGAGCATAAAGTGAGGGCAAGAGCGGGGGAAAGTGAGGCTGGAGGAATCATTGGGACCAAACAACTGCACATGAGGACCTTGCATGCCCTGCGAAGACCTGAGGCTCCACGATGATGAAGCCCGTGTGTGTGTGTGTTTAGCAGGGGACTGATTTGTAAGTTAATTTATACACCAATTCAAGAAATCTATTGACTACATTAGTTGCTATGGGGACAATAGATGGACCTTACAGTCTAATGGGGGAGAGAATAAAAAGGCAGAGCTGCAGTGTGTTGTGAGAATAAAACGGCCCAGTACCTAATGGAATCAGGGAGGGCTTCCCTTAAGGTACCTGTCAGCTGAGGAGTGACCCAAGCAGAACAAAGTATGTAGTCCAAGATCCAAAGGAGAGCCAGAGCCAAGCTTGCTTGGGGGAATGGAAACAAGTTTAGTGAGTAGGGCCCTAGTGTGTGTGGAAGTGGGTGGGGACTGGAGGAGCTTACCTTACCCAGACCAGAGGGTGACCAGTTTTGGATACCTGTGTGGGAGGGTGAGAATTAGAGTCTATAAATATTTAGTATTTAGCAGGTAAGAGAATTTAGGTATTGATTGGATATTGGGGATAATGGAGAGCTTCGGGTCTAGGGGTTCTCATGAAGGACGAGGGGTGGGTGGTAAATGGGTTAGATGCTGGAGACAATGAATTTGAGACTTTAGTAGGACAGCCAGGCCACCAACCCCTCCTGGTCTCAGGGGGACTGAGTCTCGGTTATCTTCGGGTATTGGGAAGGTCTCTCACTCTAATTCTTGGGTTTGGTGAGACCTTCCCTCTTAATTCTTCGTTTCTGAGTGTTGGGAGATGCTTCTCCGGCCCAGTCGCATGTGTCCAGGCTAACTTCCTGGTCGCTGGGTGTCGGGACCTCCTTGTCCCGATGGCTGAGTGTGGGGAGCCCTCTCCCCCTCCAACCACCCGTGGATCTTAGCGCCCCTCCCCCACGCATGGGCATTCGGAGCTCCTCCGCCACAGTCGGGAGTCTCCGTCACCGCCGGACGATGGCAGCGTGGGCTGCTGCCAGGGCCCTGGCTCTGGGGCTCTGGGGCTGGGCGCTGGCTCCTGCGGTGGCAATAGACGCCATAGGCCCTCACGCAGCCGTCCGTCTGGCCGAGCTGTTGACTCCAGAGGAGTGCAGCCACTTCCAGTCGCTCCTGAAGGCACCAGAACCGGATGTCGACGCCGAGCTGGCCAGGCTCTCCGAGGACCGGCTGGCCCGGGCAGAGCCGCCGGAGCCCATGTCGGGGTCGCTCGGCCGGCGGTTGCGGCGGGATGCAGCGAACCCAGCGGCTGACCCTGCGGAGGTCTCCGACGGCTGCCGGGAGGGGCTGGCGGCCTGGCTGGCGGCCAAGGCCCTGACCCTGCCCTGGGACCGCATGGCCCGAGCCCTGCGGCGCAGCGGCCGCCCCGACGTAGCCCGGGAGCTGGGCAAGAACCTCCACCAGCAGGCGACGCTGCAGCTGCGCAAGTTTGGGCAGCACT